TGAAATATCATTGGTCAGGACATCACGAACACGGATGTTGGACAATGCTACAATATGTCTGTGTTCGACTTATACACGTATAACGCGGACAATGTTCGATGACAATCTATTAGCCCGGACAGATGGGGGTGAGTCAACAGAAACCAAGCAAATTATATATGTATTACATATATAATTTGCTTGGTTTCTGTTGATTCACCCCCATATATACATGTGTAATGCGGACATCAAAGATGTACAACACTGTCAATGAGATATAACCGTTTTGTTGCTATTAGTGGGGACCGGTGTTCGAGTTCGTGAGGAAATATTTGTTTTGTGTATTGAAATATCGTGTCGGGAAAAGTGATTTTACATATGATGTTAGCCTTGACTCTAATCTAAATTTTATTACGTATTTATCACGCACTTTGGGATAAGAGTCAGAAAGGATTAAGATTATATGTAAAATCATCTTTCCGATATTTTCAATTAATGCTCCAAGCTAAATTTTTCCTGTCGGATTTGAATACCGGATTGATGGCTCGTGATCACCTCCCTTAACACGTATTTGTCCTTTGTACATGTATTACTGGATAACGCTAAATCCATTAACGTTAATGTTAAGAAATTATTACAATATAAACGTCATTTTGGAATTAATTCTGAAACAGCGTATTGGTATGTAACAATAACGATAACGATATAAGTACGTACATGTACATACGTACGTACATGTATAGCATTACGTCATTCAGAATTCCAAAGTCAAGTCGGAATTAACGTTAACGTGAATTCCGAAACAATGTACATGTACATGTATCTATATTTGGACTTTGATATGCAGTATACGTAACGATGCTTTAACTTAAAACAGGGATACAATGATCGTATTTTAAGCGTGTGTAAAAGACTTTATTCTCAAGCTTTTCTATGTTTCCTGCGAAGAGTACTTTGAAAATGAGTAAAATTATTGCAATACAAAATTTCAACAAAAAAGAAAATGACCCAGTTATCGAAGAAATGCTTATTTCTTTTGATAATTTGATGCATTCTTCCCAGGATTTAAATGTCATTGCAAATAAAATGCGAAGAAATATTGAAGAATTAACAGAAAGCACGCTTGAATATAAAAAATTCTTGCAAATATTAACGTCGGATATTCCATATAATGTATTGTATGGTTTTTTACATCATTTTGGGATAAAAGTTGAACAAAATTTTGAAATTGCTTTTGAATTTTATAAAAAATCAGCAAAGAATAATAACGCAATTGCTCAATATTTACTCGGATTTTGCTATTACAATGGAGTTGGCACACCTAAGAATAAAAGTAAAACCTTTATGTGGTTTTTGAGATCAGCAGAAAGAGAAGACGTTAGAGGACAGTATTATCTTGGTCTCTGTTATCAAAAAGGTATTGGGACGCAAAAAGATGAGAAAAAAGCTTTTGAGTGGTATTTGAAATCGGCAGAGGCGGGAGATGCTAAAGGACAAAACAATATTGGTCAGTATTATCAAAAAGGTATTGGGACGCAAATAAATGAGAAAAAAGCTTTTGAGTGGTATTTGAAATCGGCAGAGGCGGGAGAAGCTAAAGGACAAAACAATCTTGGTCGATGTTATAAAAAAGGTATTGGGACACAAATAAATGATAAAATAGCTTTTGAGTGGTATTTGAAATCAGCAGAGGGGGGAAATGCTAGAGGACAGTGTAATCTTGGTTGGTGTTATCAAAGTGGTATTTGGACGCAAATAAATGAGAAAAAAGCTTTTGAGTGGTATTTGAAGTCGGCCGAGGCGGGAGATGTTAAAGGACAAAGCAATCTTGGTCGGTGTTATCAAAATGGTGTTGGGACGCAAATAAATGAGAAACAAACTTTTGAGTGGTATTTGAAATCGGCAGAGGGGGGAGATGCTAAAGGACAAAACAATCTTGGTCGGTGTTATAAAAAAGGTATTGGGACGCAAAAAGATGAGAAAAAAGCTTTTGAGTGGTATTTGAAATCGGCAGAGGCAGGAGAATCTAAAGGACAAAACAATCTTGGTCGGTGTTATCAAAAAGGTATTGGGACGCAAATAAATAAGAAAAAAGCTTTTAAGTGGTATTTGAAATCGGCAGAGGGGGGAAATGCTAGTGGACAAATCTATCTTGGTTGGTGTTATCAATACGGATTTGGAGTTACAAAAGATCTTTTTATGGCGTTGAAATTGTACGAACGAGCTTACCAAAACGGTTATAATCTAGCAAGGGAGCATTTTAAAAGAGTATATTTATTTTATTCTTTATATTAGTTTATATGGTTTTTATTTAATGGTCACAATATTGAGCGATCCTAGTAGTATGATTATACGGGTGGTGACTATAGAGTGAGACAATTGTATTCAGCTACATTAAATCTTTGTTTTTTATATTTTTTATAGATATTTAGTACTTATCAAATGCGTATATAGCTGTACCTTCATATTGATTGTATAGGTGTTATAAAGCTAATAATTTACATATATACTCGTATTTTTCCGTTTTCAAATTAAAGTTGCAAAGCATAAATTTGGCCGAAATTACGTAAATCAGTCAATGCAAAAGAAAAAGTCTAGAATTTTGAATCCAAATTAGCTTTTATTCGTGCGGTGATTGCGTGGAATGTGATTAATTTTTTGAAAAAGTCTGAAAATATTGATCAGAATATTGACCAGAATATTGAACAGAATTTAGCTCATTGCTATAAAGAGAGAAACGGTATTCATGGAACTAGAAGATTGTATACTAGAACTTACAAGGATGGGTGAATTCCTCTTTTGCTATTTTAAATCGTTTATTGATGTCCCGAATCGTTTCGTTACGTTTTTTCATAGTTAAATACTATCTATAACAAAATCTCGGATATACATGTACTAATTCTAATTACATGTACACCCTACAATATATTACCAGAATTTCAAAAATGAATTTGTCACTTTGGATCCCGACATCCGGTGATTTCATTCGATCACCGGATGTCGAGATATCGGGATCCAAAGTGACAAATTCATCCGGTGATATATTGTAGGGTGTGTACATCATCGTATCCTATATCAATTCATGCGACACCCCCAACACATCATGCCAGACTATTTCGCATCTGTTTTTTGTGTGTCATGTTGGTAGCGCGGTAAACCACATACCGGCATTTGTTTTTTTGTGCAATATTAAAGATTGATTTTAGGATAAGGGTCAGGTTAGAGTGGAGATCAAGGATGTAAAATTATCTCCCTAACATAGATTTGAATATACATTTTCTGTATTTTTCGCATTTTACATTTTTTTGCGTCGGATTGTTTTGCCGGGCTGATCAAAAATTTGCACATCCCTATTGGTCTGTGCCACTGGTAAATCGCATTCTTATTGGTTTGCGCCACCAACCTCCGCACAAAGAACTGATGCAGCCATTTGGCATGATCTAGTGATCTCGTCAGATTTTTTAGCCAATCAAGTAAAATTCATAATTATTTTCAAACCCACAATTTTTATCAAGTGAAATCCAAGTATTCCTATTTTTGATATAAATATCAAATTTGTACTATGGTAAGCATAGACGGAACGCATCCTACTGCTGGTTCATGGGCTCTGCGCAACCCACCTTCACGCTACGCAAAAGCCTGGAGGAGATGGCGTTGAGGGATCTTCGTGAGACTTTTGTGTTTTTTCGCAATGACGATAAGGATCAACAGTAACCTTGTACATGTATATCAACATATTTTCTTTGAAAGGTAACCAAAAATTCTTTGAAGATCATAACGATAACAAAATAAAATGTTTTCTTTTGAAATTAATGCTAGATAATTGTAATTTGCAAGGTCAGTACTTATTTAGTCAAGGAAAATAATGTTATTTTCGAAGTATAGTTTCATTTTGACATTTGCTTCACTTTTCATTTCGTATTATAATCAAATTTTGTTCATCATATAATACCTTCGTTATGCTAACAAATAATGATTTCAGTAAAGCTACTACACCTTCGATATACTATAATGATGAAATCGATGGATACAGTTCACATCATCTAATGGACGACGCAAATATACCAATGCAAAGTATACAATCGTCATTATATAAAATAGATTTGATAAACTCTTCAAGTTCCTCAGCAGCCGGTCTGTTTTCCGGAATAGAATTTCCAATAATAAATTTGCACCATCCAAAAAACGGGTGCGGTGGAATTACCCGAAACCCCACAACATTTCCCCGACGACAACCCATATCCCCGACAAATCATTTCACCGACCACCCAATCCCCCGACATGACATTTCCCCGACATAACACTTTCCTGATAAATCTAGCATGGTGCACTAAGCAAAAATTTTAGGAAGAAATTTTACATATAATCGTAACTCTAATTCTAACCCTAACTTTAACACTAACCTGTTAATTCCATGCAGTTAATACATTATGTCACAATATCCTATCATGTTGGAGAAACATTTTTTCGGGGCAATGTCGGGGAAATCTCCATTCGGGGAAACGTCATGTCGGGTAAATTGATTCGGGTAAATTTGCTGTTAAAGGAATCAGATGTCTCCCTTTAACAAAAACATTATTTAATATCTCAGGGCTTATTCCATTATAGATGTCGAGTACAAAATCTATATCGTGATTCAGCTCACCAACCGGACCGGTCGTTCTCCTGTTACATAAACTATAAATATCTACAGCTTTATTGTTTTATTTACCTCTGGACTAATATAATGAAGTACTCAATAAATTTTTTGATTAGATGTTTTTAAAATCTGCTGGGAAGTCCAAACTCGGCAATATAAACTTCATGATCTAATAATATATTTCCAGTGTGAAAGTTAAGATGGACAAATCTCTTGGTGAATTTTGCGTAACTTAGAAAGAATATCAATTAAACGTCTTAATTTTTCTTTCAATTCACTTTTCGTACAGAGGATATAAAAAGCATTGGACACTTTTGTAAAACATCTTACAAAATAACTAGCATATAAACTTACTTTTTATTTTATTTTATTAAAATACAGGTCAGTACTTCGTTTGACCCCCATTCGCTGCAAGACCAGCCTGAACCCGACGTGGCATGGACTTAATCAAATTACGGTAATAATTTATGGGTACCGCATCCCATTCCTCCTTTACCCACTGCTCCAATTTGGGGGCTGTGAATCACATTGATGAATTTTAACCTCAATATTCATAAAATTCAACTGAATTTGAGAGAGGGTTTGACGACGGGTTTTTTTTATTTTTCAACTACTGAACGTTTGAGGCGTTTGCGTGCGGATGCATCAAGAATTCGTGGTCGACTCGTTCGTTTTCTAGGAAGTTTTTTTTGCTCATACGATTCCCATACACGTAGTACGGAAGAACGAGAGCAACCAACAACTGCGGAAATCTCACTATTCGTATCCCTAGCTTTTTTGTTGCAATAATTTCTCCTTTTTGACGTTTACTAAGTTCTTTTCCAAGGCACATTGGATGCGGTAAATTTTTTTCGTATGCTCCGGTTGTGTCATACAATAATGTGATTTATGTTGATTGTAGATCAAATCACGAGTAACTAATGGCTCAAATTGGACCAGCAAGGATGCCTCTTTTAAATGTCCAATACTTTTTATCCTCCCCCCCCCCGATACGTAGTTGGAATGCTATTCCACAAAATCTGAATTCCGGATATGTACACTCTTTGTACATGATCTTTAATACTTACCATCTGTTGATGATTTTATAGATAATATCATTCACTAGATAAATTAAAAATATCTAATTCCAATCTAGCAAGCTCATGATATCACGGTTCTTTTTGTCTAGGTTTCATCCTTCCAATCATTAAACAGACAGCTTCGCATTCAAACTGCGCATCTGTCATAGTAGATCGCAAAATCCAAATCAAGGTTTCTATTTGATGGTTATGTTTGGCTCCAAAATGGATTTATTATAACTTTTTATGCCAAACTTTGATAAAATTTGTTGTATTCATCTCTTGGTATTCGTATAAGCGATATGCATTAATCCATTTTTCACGGTTTTCTCGATATTCTCCTTCTACATATTTTACTCAGCTATCCACCGAGTGAGATATTCATCAAATTTACTTTGCACCTGGGAAGCGTCTCGAATTCTCATAATTTTGCCAAGCTCATCCAATGCCGCCTTCTGGATCTTCTGGATCACTCGCTTTCCTGATTGTTTAAAAATATTATCATCGTGCTCATTTTTTTCTTGAGTCTCAAAATGATTATCATCAGCTCTAATTTTACTTTTACTTTTTTGCCAGATATTCTTTATATGCTACTTGCATAGCAAGATCTTGTTGTACGTCATCACAATCGGTAAGAAAGGTATGTGATTTCCATCCTTGATTTTGATTTTAATGGCTTTAAGCCAAGTAATTAATGTTTCTCCTGCTTTTTTTTATATAAAATGTTTTCATTTTCTCATATAAGTAAAGTGATGTGTTTTATGTGATTTGTTCCATGTACCATCTACAGTTTGCGCACTTTTTAATTTCAACATGTTTCTTTGAAATTCAATTTGGAACCCATACATGAAGCATAAAGACGAAACCAGATTAGATTACTGCATGTATACGACAAGATGATCCATTCTTTGATAGATACATTCTCACTATATCCTTCTTTTCTGTTACATAAGAAATTATTCCTTTCATTCTCCTTAACGATATTATAAACATTAATGTAAAAAAGGTACACATCTCACTTTTGCATCAAAGGTAAAGAGTCTAAGTCTTCAGTTTCATAAAATTGATTAATAGATTGGTAGAACATCGATACTATTTGGGAAGGCTTCATCCCATCTTTCGCTCTTGCATGGAGCCATCTTTTGCCTGTTGAGATATACGAAAGTGTCATAAATCTTCATCAGTGCCAGGAGTATGTCCATTATGACGCATATAATGAATGATACGAATTGAATTATCTTCTCAGTTACGATATTTTAATACACATAAATGAATAAAATGAGGTTTACTATGATTTGACAGATGTTTGATAACTCGCTTCATTGTTCCAGCTGTGGATTTAGAATTTCTAGAACTGGGACATACATATCTTTCATTTCACTTATATTCTGAACTTTCTCAGTTATCTTTTTGAATATAATTAGCTCCAGAAATATTCGAAAGAATGTTTTTAATCCAATCTTTGTATGTATTTAATTCGAGGTGAGTATAAATTTCACGTAGTCGTTCATGTCTAGTTCGTTTTCAGATAAAGATTCATTATTGAAAGGGAAGTTATTATTAGATAAAAGTTCATTATTAGCACGTAAGGAGTTATCATTAAACGAAGTTGATTAGTATGTTCAATGATTTTCTTAGCGAACATATTTTAATAAATGTATTTTTACTAATAGCTATGGCGTTCTTATATTAAAAAAAAAAAAGGTATCGTGCGTTTAAGAATAATATACATAAGGAAAATATCGCGCGTTTATGTATTACATTTAAGACTCATAATTTTTTTTAAAAAATCAATCACAAAGTTGATCATTTATTTTTTAATAAAGTTAACGTTAATGTAACGGTTAACGGTAATATTAACACGCGAATTTCTGAACAAAGCTAATCGCAACATGCGTTTCTTTGTTATTATATATGAACATAACGATTTGAATTTTATATGCTATAAATATAATAATCCGAATCTTTGTATGACGAATGCGTAATTAATGACTCTGAAGTAAAATCATTATTAGCAATCGTTTGAGTCATGATTTATAAAAAAATAATATGTAATATGTTAGTTTCCTTAATATAAATTTATCGAACATAAAAAAAATAGCGATAACGAAAATCACACGTTATACATACGTAGTTGAGGTAACTTGTCGTTTTCCCGACCATATCGATATTATACGTGTTCATGTATTATCCATAATAGTTAATCGATTAGATATATTAAATTAGGTATTGACAATCAAACATTCTAGATTGGGTGGGGGATACTCGGTTTGTAGTTTTCTTTTATGAACGAGGTCCAATTCCCTGACCTTGGCGCCAGCCCATTTTTTCAGTAATCTCACAAAATAATACTGAATCCGATTAATGTTTGCATTTTGGTTGCAAAAGTTTAAGTTTTATATTAATCAGCCACAATATTCATCTGTGCCATAATATCCTCCCCTTACATAGATGTGCTCATAAATACCATAGAGCGCTGCCTATAGTACCCTCCCTGTTGAAACTTTGCCATTTAATTTAATCTCAATTTTTAAATAAACAATTATTTTTTCTACAAAAATGAACAAATTAAGAGTCCCAATGTAACTCTTCAAAAACTCTTATCATTAAATTATTTGCTTTGAGGTTAAATTAAATGACAAAGTTTTTACAGGGAAGGTACTATAGGCAGTGAGTGCTCTACGGTAGATACGACATTATTTATGTGTAGAAGTTTGGTGAACATAGAATGTCTGATTTAGAAGTTTATCAGCCTATAAAAGGCGTAAAGTTATGGAGGTAGGTTACTTCCGACGAGCACTGTATTATTTATTATACGATTAGTAATTGAAGATGAAGGTTTTCAAATACAATTCGTTTTGATTTCTGTTTTATAAATGATACAGAAGCACACAAAGATGCGAAAAACAATTCCAGTGGTATTTCATGAGAAACATAGAGGGCAATATACCATTAGCCCTTGTTACAAATAAAGGTGGGTGACGATGTAGTTTAGGTACCTAACCGAAACCAATATATGTTTAGTCATTTCATCCAGGGTAGTTTAGGAACCCATCATTAGTTACAAATATAGAATCTCAAAGGATTTATTTGGGAGAGGAATAATAGAGATATAAATTTATGCTGTAGCGATATGCGTACCTAAATCTTTTTTAGAAAACGCTACTTGTTGTAAAAGATGAAAGAAGAGCTTTCAAATGGTACTTAAATATTCTCAATTCCATTTTGCTCAACGTTACAACTACAAATACGGAATTTCAAAAGATCTTGTTTAACATAGCATTAAAATAGTGACAAAAGCATACGAGAATACTTAGAAACTGATTTAATTTTCTTTTTCAATTAAATTATATAAATACGCATTAATCAATGAATTTCGAATAACAATAATGAAGTTTGCCGGTTAGCATTACATAAAGCGTCTAACTTAATCGGAAATAACTGATTCCGTTATCTTAGTTAATTTTATTTGTCGTTAAACTTCACACATTTGGTTTTGCGATTTTTACTAAATAGTTTATTTTATCAATTTCAAACTACAAACATTCAGCTAATTATCTTTACAAAATAAAAATTTAGTGTTTCAGAGTCAGCTACATAATTTTAGATATCATTGAAACGGAGATTAATAAACCTTTTCTGAATATCATCCGTAACTCTTTTTCCAAGAATAATATCTCCCGCAGCTCTTTTTCCAGGATTATAGTCGTCAATTGGAAACGGTAAAACAAACTGGACTACAGGGTGGCTTAATACCAGATGAGTGGTGAAGAGAAAAAGGAGAAGGGAAATTGAGAGACGAATACTGAATTCCATTTTTCAGTTGTTTTTTTATTGTTGTTGATTTTAGAGTTTTATTTTTTGCCGTGTATTTAATTTAGCAGAGCAGATTGATCTGATGAATATTGGTAGGAAAACTCGTCTTTTTATATAAAATTGCGTCAAGATAAAGATTATGTCACAATGCTTTATCACTAATAATAAGCCTGATAGAATGATCCTTACGATTCATAATCATATGTTAGCGTTAGGATCTATTGTTACAAAGCAAACTATTTATAGTAAATTCGCAGAAAATTTATTGCGGTTTTGCAAAAAGGTGTAGTCATGCAATTGCAGTTAGTGGGAATGTAGAGATCAATCAGTATACCCAATATCGATATTTATATATATATATACATCAAACTATTAGATAAAGTTGTGGGTTAAAGGACAAATACTACATTTTTATGTGTACATGTTTTGGTTAACATGAAAATTAAAACGAGCGTAACGGTAATATTTATCTTTTATCTCGCGAATTTATTTAATAGTTTGATGTATATATCAATATTGGATATCTCAAAACTCACACTAACTGCAATCTGTATGACTACCGCTACACCTTTTGCAAACCGCGCGATAATTAAACGACGAAGATGGTACTTGTTTTATTCCTATTTATTTCTCTATGAAGAATATCTATTCTAAATTTGTTTCAAAAGCAATTTTATTTCTCTAAGAATATCTATTCTAATTTTAAGTTTTAAAAGCGGTTAAATTATAGTTTTTTTCTTAACCCACGGACCAAGATGGTGCATCTAAGAATATCTAAATTTAGTATGGCGGTCAAATTTTTGATGCTATCCATCACAAATTCTTAGATGATTTGGTGGATACTATTTATAGTAAAAGTCGTTAGCGTTGACTCGTACTACCGCTACACTTTTACAGATCCGGAACATCCGACTCCTGACGATTGGTGCTACCAATGATCGTCAAATCGCAAGATCAA